TTCGATACGTCTACCGGCGCAACGGTGTGGGAGCATGATCTGGTGAACGTGAACCTGTCAGCGGCGCCGGCGATCGCAGATGGTACCCTGTATCTACCCACTTCCGATGGGCGATTGCTGGCGATGCGCAGCCAGGCTCCGTGATGTTGACGCGTTTTGCGGCCCAACCTATACTCGCCGCAATCAAGTCAATCTCCGAGAGTAGGCAAGCGCAATCATGACCCAAGCCACACCCCACCAGAGAGACATCGCGGGCGAATCCTGGGACCCGGGGCAGTACCTCAAATTCGCTGATCACCGGCTCCGGCCCGCTCTGGACCTGATGGGTCGCATTCCGCTGGAAAATCCGCGAGTCATTTATGACCTGGGCTGTGGCAGCGGCAACGTGGCACGCCTGCTCGCCGACCGTTGGCCCGCCGCCGATATTGTTGGCGTTGACAACTCGCCCGAGATGCTCACCGAGGCTGCCGATTCACCGTCCCGGGTGCGATGGGAATACGGTGACCTGGCCGACTGGAAACCCGATGCCTCGCCTTCAGTCCTGTACTCGAATGCTGTTATCCAATGGGTGCCCGACCACCAGGAACTCATTCCCCGTCTGTGGGCGATGTTGCCCGTCTGGCGGATGCCTGGCTGTGCAGGCCCCGATGAGTTGGGATATGCCATCTCACCACATCATGCGCGAAACTCTGGCGGACGGCGGAACCGGCGGGAAACCCATCGGGAGCGCCGAATTGCGGGAGGCAGTCGGCAATCGGTGGGTGCAGGATCCTGATTTCTACTATGACCTGCTGGCCCCCAACGCTACCCATCTGGATGTGTGGACCACCGAGTATCAGCACGTTTTGACTGGCGACGATGCCGTTCTGGAGTGGGTAACGAGCACCGGCCTGCGGCCCATCCTCAATGGCCTGAACGACGCCGACCGCGACGTCTATCGGGAAGAGTACCGTCGGCGGCTCAACCGGCAATATCCCAGGCGGGCTGACGGAGCTACCCTGTACCCCTTCCAGCGTCTGTTCTTCGTCGCCATCCGGGCATAAATCTCAACGATACACCGATGTGCGGAATGATTCGCACATCGTTGCGCAACTCCTGCTCATTGATGTTACCTATACATTGATGTTACTTACACACTCCCCAAGAGGTGCAACATGACGGTTTTAGTAATGGGCGGCGCCGGATTCATCGGGCCACGGGTGATTCGGGAAGCTGGTGGAACGCGGTGAACAGGTTTACGCCACTGACATTAACCCTTTGCCCGACATCCGAGGTGTCGAACGCGACGCAATCCGGAGCGCCCGCGTTGACATCACCGATTTCGAGCAGGTAACGCGTTCCATCGTGGAAGCCGAGCCTGACCGCATCATCAACCTGGCCTACCTGCTGGGCGGTGGCGAGGGCAACCCTCACCACCAGATGCGTCTGAACATCCTCGGCATGGATAACTGCTTCGAAGCGGCGCGCCTGTTGGGCGTAAACCGGGTGGTTTATGCCAGTTCGGTGGCGGTCAGCGGGCAGCAGTCAAACTTCGGCGACCGCCTGGCCACCGAGGACGACGGCACCTTCGGCTCCAGCCAGTACGCCGTGCACAAGATTTTCAACGAGTTCCAGGCCAAGATGTTCAACGAAAACTACGGTATGTCCATCACCGGTATCCGTCCGGCCAACGTCACCGGCCCTGACAAGGTGCGCGGCTCGGTCGACCATGTGCGCTGCGTAACGCTGCCCGCGCGCGGCGAACCGGTCAGCTTTCCCTACCAGGAAATGATGCGGCTGCCCATCCACGTCGAGGACATCGCCGAGGCCTTCGTCCGCGTGTCCCTGGTCGACCGCAGCGAGTCTCCGGTGTACAACTCCGGCGGTACGGCAATCAGCCTGGGCCACCTGGCCGAGATGGTGCGGGGCTACCTGCCCGACGCCCAGATCAGCTTCGACGACCCTGGCGGACGGGAACACTCCGGCAACTACCTGGTGGACAACAGCCGCCTGCTGAATGAGTTTGAACTGGCCTATGCGCCACTATCCCAGCGTGTGCTGGAAATTATCAACGACGTACGCGCCGACGAGGGGCTGCCCCTGATTACGGGCTAGCTCCATCCTCATTGCCCGTACGGGCGTGGGGGAAACAGACGGCCATACCTCCTCTCCCTTGATGGGAGAGGGTTGGGGTGAGGTGAACTCGCCGCGAGCAGTAGCAGGGACGACGGGCGGCTCGCCATTGCTATTCATTCATGCGGCTAATTCATGAACATCTACCCATTGGAGTAAGCCATCAGGGACGTTCCCCAAACCGGCGGAAATGCAAAAACCGCCGGCACTGCCGGCTTCCCACCCAAAAAATAAGACCACCCTGCGGCGGACTCCCCCAGCCCGCCCCGGCTTGCCGCCGCACCACATCCCCCATATAATGCGGCCATAACCGTTCAACAGGCTGCGCAACTCCACGAGTGCGTGCCGCGGACAATCCAAAGAGTTTGCACGGAGGAGGTTCCCCAATGGCGTTACCTGATCGGATGAAATTTGGCATATTTATGGGCCCTTTCCACCGGGCCGGTGAGAACCCCACCCTGGCGCTGGAGCGCGACCTCGAACTCGTGCAATGGCTCGACTATCTTGGTTTTGACGAAGCCTGGATTGGTGAACACCATAGCGCCGGCTGGGAAATCATCTCGTCGCCCGAGATTTTCATTGGCGTCGCCGCCGACCGCACCAAGCACATCAAACTGGGCACCGGCGTTGTCAGCCTCCCTTATCACCATCCCTTTATGGTGGCTAACTGGATGACCCAGCTCGACCACATGACCCGTGGCCGCGTGATGCTGGGGGTAGGGCCGGGCGCCCTGCCCGGCGATGCCTACATGATGGGAATCGACCCCACCAAGCAGCGCATTCGTATGGACGAAGCCCTGGGCGTGATCATGCGCCTTTTCACCGAGAAGGAGCCGATCACCCACAAGAGCGACTGGTTTGAGTGTCAGGAAGCCATGCTGCAACTGCGGCCTTACCAGACGCCCCACATGCCTATTTCGGTGGCATCAGTGCAAACGCCCTCCGGCGTATCCTTGGCTGGTAAACACGGCGCTTCTGTGTTGACTATTACCACTCCTCGGGACCCCGCCGCTCCGTCGGGCACCGACCTGAAAGACCTTTGGGACATTTGCGAAGAATCTGCCGCCGAGCACAACCAGGTGGTTGACCGCTTCGATTGGCGGCTGGTGCTGCCGGTACACCTGGCCGACACCCGGGAGGAAGCATTCGAGCAGGCCCGGATCGGCGCGGGGCGCTATCAGCGTGAATACTTCGAGCATACGATGGGTCGCCCTCAGGTGGTCGATGGGCCGCCCGAAAAAATCATCGACGTGCTGGCCGAACGCGGCGCCTGGATTATCGGGACGCCCGACGACTGCATCGAAGGCATCAAACGGCTGGAAGAGCGAAGCGGCGGTTTCGGCGGCTTTATGGTGCAAACCGTCGACTGGGCCGCCCGTGAGCATATGCTGCACAGCTACGAGTTGATCGCGCGCCACGTGATGCCCCACTTCCAGGGTTCTGCCGAAGCTGCCAAGGCCTCCAACCAGTGGGCCTACGAACGCAACGAATCCCTGATGGCTGGACGCAGTCGCGCCCTGGACCGCGCCCGAGAAGACTACGCAGCGCGCAGCGCATAACCAACCACCCCGATATTGAGGCCGCCGCCGACGCAACAGCATGCTGTCGCCTGGCGGCCCATTGCTATCCGCCAACCAGCGTAAGGAGCCTCGCCATGCCCCTGCACCCACAAGCTCAACAGATCATCGAAGCGACCCGCGCCCTGGGCCTGCCACCGAACCACACTGTTTCGCCTCAAGAAGCCCGTGAGAACGCCAGCAAACGTCCGCGCGCACCCGGTCCGGAGGTTGGCAAGGTCGAAGACCGGACCGTTCCCACTCCGGCGGGCGGTGTGCCGGTTCGCATTTACACTCCCGAAGGCGAGGGGCCGTTCCCGATACTGGTGTGGTATCACGGCGGCGGTTGGGTTACTGGCGACCTGGAATCTGCCGACGGCACCAGCCGGCATCTTTGTGTCACATCTCGCAACATCGTAGTGTCGGTGGACTACCGATTATCTCCGGAAGCCAAGTTCCCCGAACCGTTTGACGACTGTTACGCGGCTACGCTCTGGGCCAGCGAACACGCCGAAGCTCTGGGTGGAGTTTCGGGTGTTGTGTCCGTTGGCGGAGATAGCGCGGGGGGTAACCTGGCTGCCGGCGTCAGCATCAAGGCTGCCGAAACGGGGGACGTGCGCGTGAGCCATCAACTGCTCGTTTATCCGGTAACCGACCGCGAATTCGGCACCGGTTCTTACGCCGATAACGGCACCGGCTATAACCTGGAACGCCAGGGAATGATGTGGTACTGGGACCAGTTTCTGGCTGACCCCGCTGATGCCGCCAACCCGCTGGCCGCTCCGTTGCAGCTGGCTCCCGACTTTCCTCATACTGACAAACTGGCCAAATCCTTTACCCTCACCGCTGAGTACGACCCGCTGCGCGACGAGGGCGAAGCCTACGCGCGCCACCTGAAGCAGATGGGTGTGCCGTCGACGGTGAAGCGTTACCCCGGCATGATTCACGGCTTTTTCAGCATGGCCGGCGTCATTGATACGTCCCGCGCGGCGATGGACGATGCCGGCGAATTCCTGCGCGGCGCCGTTGATGACATGGTGGCTGAGTATCACGCCCAGCACCAGGGCGACAAGACGGCGATGCGCAAGTTGCTGGATCCGCAAGCCCGCAACGTGCTGGAACTGTTTGATTCGCTCAAACTCAAGCCGTTCCAGGACATGACCGCGGTGGAGTGTCGCGAGGTGATGAACAACCGGCCCCGACCGGAAGGCCCGGCGGTGGGCAAGGTCGAAGACCGCATCATTCAGAACATGTACGGCAAGGAACCGGGAGACGTGCCCATACGCATCTACACGCCGGAAGGTGCCGGCCCCTGGGGCACGCTGGTCTGGTTCCACGGCGGCGGTTGGGTTATCGGCAACATCGAAACCGCCGACGCCACCGCTCGCGAGCTTTGCGTGGGCGCCAATTCGGTGGTCATCTCAGTCGACTACCGGCTGGCCCCCGAGTACAAATTCCCCACGCCCTTCGAAGACTGTCTTACCGCCACGATGTGGGCGATGTACAACGCCGAGTCTCTCGGCGGTCGTCCCGAGGCCATCGCTGTGGGTGGCGACAGCGCCGGCGGAAACCTGGCCGCTGCGGTTGCCCTGTCGTACGAGGATTTCCCACACCCGCTGGCATACCAGTTGCTGGTTTACCCCTGCACCGATGCCGCCTACAATGGACGTTCGTACGCCGTCAACGGCAAGGGTATGTTCCTGGAAACGGCCAGCATGCAATGGTTCTGGGATCACTACCTGGACCGGTCTGAACTCTCCGGCTACAACATTTTTGTGTCGCCTTTGCGTGCCCGACTAACATCCGATTTGTGCTCGGCGCTGGTTATCACCGCCGAGTTCGACCCGCTGCGCGACGAGGGCGAAGCCTACGCCGTGGCCCTCCGGGAAGCGGGCGTGCCCACCGTGCAAAAGCGATATGATGGTGTCATTCACGGTTTCTACGGAATGCCCCACGTCATCGACAAGGGACGGCAGGCGCTGGATCTGTCTTGCCGCGAGCTGCAAACCGCCTTCGCCTCCATCCTTCAGAACGAGACGGCAGCCGTCGCCGCCGACAACTGACCACATTTCATAACTGACCACATTCCACTACTGACCTCGGTACAACCCGATCCGAACAGACCAATGCGGCCTCCGTCGCGAAGGAGCTCCAACTATGGCTGAGACCATTCAGGAACAGTACATCCGGGAAGAATCCCCGGTCCCTGGAACTGCAGCCCAGCTTCCGGGCCCATTTCCCCTCCGGGAGCCCGGGACACGACGGCTACACCTCCGACCCCTTCCCGGTGATTGTCGCGAGGGGTAGCGGGCCGCGAAAATGGGACATCGACGGGAACGAATATGTCGACTACGGCATGGGCTCCGCGTCATTGTTGCTGGGACACGCCCACCCGGAGGTGGTTAGCGCACTGTCTGCGGTGCTGGCCGACGGGTCCCACTTCGGTGCGCCCACCGAGTCTATGCTGGAATGGGGCGAGCGCGTCTGTACGCTTATGCCTTCCGCCGACAAGGTGCGGTTCGTTGGCTCCGGCGCCGAGGCCACCATGCTGGCCATGCGCGTCGCCCGCGCCCACACCGGCAAGGAGAAGATCATCCGCTGGGAGTCCCACTACCACGGCTGGCACGATTACGTCATGCCCGGCAACGTGCCACCCTTCGACGTGCCGGCGTCCATCGGCATTCCCCAGGGTGTCATCGACTCCATCGTCGTCCTTCCCACCGACCTGACCGCGCTGGAAAACGTCTTGAACAACGACGACAACATTGCCGGCGTCATCACCGAGGCATCGGGCGCTTCCTACGGCACCGTGCCCCTGCCCGAAGGCTTCCTGGAAGGCGTGCGCCGCCTGACCCGCGAGCACGGGGTGGTCATGATCCTCGACGAGGTAATCACCGGGTTCCGCTGGGCGCCCGGCGGCGCACAGGAGAGTCTTGGCATCGACCCTGACCTGTTCACCATGGCCAAGATCCTCACCGGCGGTCTGCCCGGCGGCGCCGTTGCCGGCCGGGACGAGGTGATGGCCGTCATGCACCAGACCGGCGACAGCCACCACGACCGCTACGAGCGCGTCCTGCACGGCGGCACATTCAACGCCAATCCATACGCCGCCGCCGCCGGCAACGCTGCCCTGCGCCTGGTCGCCACCGGCGAGTACAACGCCCAGGCCGACCTGATGGCCGAGCGGCTCCGGGTGGGTCTGCGCGAAGTAGTGGACCGGCGGGAGCTCAATGCCACCGTCTACGGCGAGGCGTCAACCTTCCACCTGTACTTTGGCGAACGCAGCATCGCCGGCCTGGACGCGTCCCGCCTCAAGGACCAGCCCATGGCCATTCAGCGCAGCCTGCGCCAGGCCCTGCAGGTTCGGGGCGTCGACCTGATGTCCCGCACCAGCGGCGTGCTGTCCGGCACCCACACCGAGGCCGACATCGACTTCACCATCGAAGCCTTCGACGGCGCCATCGCCGCCATGATGGACGAGGCCTGGTGCAGCACTAGGCCGCACCGGGCACATCCGGCCACGGCAATCGGCCCCCGTCCGTTGGGGATGGGGGCCGATTCTATGCCCTACAACTCGATGGCATCCCCCACGCGTACCGTGCCGGGCTTTTCGACCAGGCCGTACACGCCGAAAAACGCCGCCGCCGGGTTGGGACGATAGCCCAGGATCGACCTGACCACCTCGGTGTCGGTTCTCGCCGGTGTCGGGATGCTGATCAACGATGGCGCAGCGCGGGTCAGGCGCCAGGACACGAACTATGGCGTCGCCCACGCTGATGGGCCGGTTCATCCAACCGTCTCCTTGGTGAGGCTCACAGCCGTCTAGAAGGAGCGTGGGGCGGAAACGATCGGTGGCCAGGCATTCGTCCTCGGACATCCCCATCTCGACGACAGCCGTTCCACCGACGCCCGAGACAGTACCGACACCGGAAATTCATCGAACACCTGGCAAGGCAAATCTGACATTATCAGTGCAACGGGTTGCTCGCAAAAGTCGCTCAGCGCGGCCATCCATTCGCCCATGAGGGCTCGCCCGCGGACTCGCCGGCCCCACACGATGGTCCATACCGGGCGGTCCAGGTCCGGATGACCCTCCAGCGTCGTGCCGCCCGGGAAGCCGATGGTCAACCGTTCTGCCCCGACGTCCCAGGACGTCGTCAGCTGAGCTAAGTTTGCCCACCTGACGTCGGGTGAGCAGTCGACCCTGGCCGTTTACCAGGTAAAAGCGGCGGTCGTGCTGGATGCCGCCCAAATCCAGCGCCACCTCGTCCAGCGACACCAGCCCCATGGACTTCACCGGCGCAATGTTAATCTCGGCAACGGTAATCACTGTGTCTTCTCCCGACCATGGACTCCCTCTCCCTTGATGGGAGAGGGCTGGGGTGAGGGTGAACGCGTCATACTCTTTCGTCTTTGGGAGAGGGTTGGAGTGTTGGTTGTCTCTACTCCCAACTCAAAAATTCTTGCACCAGCTGGCGCGCCGGCGTGCGGTCGTAAATCTGGTAGAGCAGGGCGGCGTTGCGGGCCGAGTCTCCACCGAAGTACCGCTCGTAAAGCGTCTGGCGGCCCCCGAATGCGCTGCACGACACATCCCACGCCAGCCGGAATAACCGGATGCGTTCCTCCGCCGTCGCCGTATCGGTGTCCAGATACCGCTCAATCTCGTCGGCCAGCGGACCGTTGAGGTCGGCCTCGGCCGGCAGCGCCATCAGGCTGCTGGAACCCAGCAGGTGCAGTATCTCGGTCATCCGCGGATACATCTGAATCATCTGCTTGCGCGCCACCAGCAGAGGCCGGTAGTCGGGGCAGAAGATACCCCACTCGTCGGTTGACGCCTGGGCCTCCGACGCGGCCAGCAGCGCCCGCGTAATCTCCAGGTTCTCGATGACCTCGGCGATGAGTTGCTGCGTCTGCGGCAGCTCTCCTGAACCCAGGATATCCACCATCAACGAGGCCAGGCCCAGCACGAACTCGCACTTGATGACGTTCTTGGTGACCACCTGGTGGCCGGTGTGGGCGTTGCGGTTGGTGCGCTCGCCCCACTGGTTGCACAGGGCCACGTCGTTATAGAGGAACACCCGCTCCCAGGGCACCAGCACGTCATCGAAGAACACGATGGCATCCATCTCCTCGAACCGGCTGCTGGCGGGATGGTCGAAGTGGGAACGTCCGGCATCGAAGGTGTCCCGGCACTGGAACTTGAGGCCTTCCATGTTGCAAGGGATGGAGAACCCGAAGGCGTACTTTCCTTCCTCACCGACTGGGACTCGCCGGGTGCGCGCCGGATAGACCGCAATTTCATCGGAAAGCGGCCCCAGCGTCGCCAGCACCCCGCGCCCCCCGCACCACGATGCCGTCTTCATTCTCGTCCACCACCGACAGCGCAACGTCGGTGCGGTCGTCGAAAGGCGTCTGGCCTACTGCGCGGCTTCGTTGCAGGTTGACCAGCGTATGGGTCATCACGATGTCGTTTTCGCGGATGTACTCGTAGTAGTTTAGGATGTTCTGCCCGAAGTCGGGCCGGTTCTGGGCACAATAATCGGCGCCGGCGGCCATGGACATCACTGCCACGTTGAGGAAATCGGGCGTGCGACCCATCATGCCGCAGGAGCCCTTGGCCCAGTTGGTGATCATCTTGCGCCGACGCTGCAGGTCTTCCAGGTTGCGGGGCATGATGAACGACAGACCCACCGGGTCGCCCGTGGTCGGCGACGTGTAGGTCATCTCGTCGCTCCGGGCCGGGTCATGCTGCATCTCCAGCAGGCTGGCGACGGTTTGCAAACCGCCGGCTAAGGCCGGATGCGCCGTAACGTCCTGCACGCGCTCCCCGCCGATGTATATGTCCGCCGATCGCTCCCGCAGCCCGGCGATGTATTCTGCTCCAGTTCGTGCCGGCATATCTCAACTCCCCAATCTGCATTGCTCCCCTCTCCCTCGATGGGAGAGGGCCAGGGTGAGGGTGCGACACCCAACCGCACCAATCTAATTGCTTGGCAACGCCTGTCACCCAACCCCTCTCCACCGGGAGAAGGGCAAGCGCCGCCCAATGGCGTTCATTGCCTTCCCCTAGATAGCCAAAGGTTAGGGTGGGCGGCTACTCCTGCATTGATACTGGCGCAAGGGTATGGTATATGAGCAAAAACCGCAAACCCGGAGCCGCCTCTGGTCAGGAGCCGCATCATGCCCACCATCCAGCGCGAACACGCCCAGCTGCACTACTACCTCGACGACTTCACCGACCCTTGGCGCCGGTCCCCGGACGCCATCGTGCTTCAGCATGGGTTCTCCCGCAATGGCAACTTCTGGTACAACTGGCCGCCCCTGCTGGGCCGGGAGTACCGGGTCATCCGGCCCGACCTGCGCGGCATGGGCGCATCCACCGCCGACGCCGAGCACTACCAGCCCACCCTGGACGTCCTGATGGACGACCTGCTGGCCATACTGGACCACGAGGGCGTCGAGAAGGCAGTCTACGTGGGCGAGTCCTTCGGCGGCATCATGGGGATGCAGTTCGCCCACGATCACCCCGACCGGTGCCGGGCCCTGGTGCTTTGCAACTCGCCTTGCCGCCTGTCACGCCGGGAAAGCCAAACCCCCGGGGGCAGTTGGCTGGCGACGATGGAGCAGGGTGGCATCGGGGCGTGGAGCGCGGCCACCATCAACTTTCGCCTCGATATGCGCCACGCCGATGAGGGCCTGAAGGACTGGTACATCGCCGAGATGGACAAGACCAACCCGGAGTTCGGCCAGGCCCTGCACCGCTACCTTGACAGCCTGGATTTCGGACCGCACCTCAAGGACATCACTGTGCCCACCCTGCTGCTCACCGGCGACGAATCCCCAACCACCAGCATGGAGCAGCAGCAGTTCATGGCCGCCGAAATACCCAACAGCGAACTAACCGTCTATCCCGGCCTGGGCCACGGTATCAACGCCATCTATCCGGAGTGGTGCGTGGACAGGATGCGGGAGTTTTTGGGGCTGCAGTCCTGATTGCCGGGCCGGCATAACATACCCTCCCCTTTGTGGGAGAGGGTTAGAGTTTGCCCTGGGCTTGACCCGGAGGTGAGCATGAAAAATGCCCGGCGCCAGCACCCACTAATTGTCAATCAGCCCCAGCCGCACCAGATCGGACCTGCGCCATTGCGCTTGAATCTCTATGATGCTGCGTAATGTTCCTGACGGTATGGTATCGCCACCGGTTTGACTGAGGGTTACGCGCCTTCGCGTCTCGTCGTGGATGTATCGACGATGACTACCTCTCTGCCTGATGAGGCGAAACCCATCTCGTCGCAAGGCGTTCTCGACTCTCGGGCAGTAGAGTAGAACCTGTTTACATCTTTTAGGATTAGCACCGTGAAGCACAGCACCACCATTCGCAGGCTGTATGAGCTCCTTTCGCAGTTCTTCAGTGTCGGCGGCCAACTTTTTCCAGCCAGGCGAAAGCGAAGACCGCTCCACCACCCTCGCTTGGAAGCACACGAAGGTTTTCTCTTGTGTGCAGTTCGTTGCGTTTTCACCACTTCCACCGCCGCTCCCAACAGGCCTGTGCACGCTAGTGGCAACGGGCTTTCCGGTGTCACCCCCGTCCACAGCACGGTCTGCACTGACTGAGTGGCCGTCTCGCGCCGGTCTAACATCGCCAAAGCCCGGCCCGGTCGCGTGACGTCCGGGACACGGTAGTCACGTGTATCGCATGGGCAATCCTGCGTGTCCACCGCGATATGACGCTTGATTCCCGACACCTTCTGCCTGCGTCAGTAGCCCTGTGCCCAGCGGTGTCCGTGTTCTGGACGCTCGGGAGTCCACGATACAGAAGCTGGTCTGCTCTTTCCGTCCATTGCTTTGGTCGGCCGCCGGGCCAGGCCACCGATTTTTTTTAGCCTTGCTCCAAGACATGGAAATCGAGCCCGGCCAGACGCTCGCTCCTTGCCGGAAATACTGGTGCACCAGTACGCCAATTGGTGCAGTCCGCAGGCAGCATCGCACTGGCACCCACTTTGGCAAGAGGCTTACAGCACGCCGCAGAAAACGTCGTACAAGTCCACGGTGTGCGGGGCTTGGTCGCGTCGCGCCGACTCACGGCTGGCAGAAAGAAGAATCCGGACACGAATGGCTCCCGCTGATGCGCGGGGATAGGAATGAGACATGATTACCCCTCCCCTGACATAATCGTTCTCAGCTGCTTCTTAACCTATGCAGAGATCGTAGACAGGTTGTTAGACTTCTCAGCCGACTGTAATCGTTCGGCATATCTACGGTTACAGGTGTTATCGATTAGCTGTTGCAGAGAAACACACCCTGCGTCTCAAATCGTTGGGTCCACCGCTTGCAGCTGGTTCAGTGATGGGCAACCCGCCTCGTTGGGCAATCTCTTCGGCGTTAATTCCCCCCTCCCGTATTTCGTCTAGAATCATCCCAAGCACCTCATCGATATTGTTGACAGCCTCTGACCACGTCGTTCCCCACGTAGCAGCGCCCAAATCCTCCCACGGCGGGTAATATGAACGCCATCCGTTTCCATCGACCTCCAAAGTGATGTCGAAATCTAGGTAGCCCTGCTTGATCGCGTGGGCTATGTGGCGTCTGGTAGCCGCAGTCGTGTTATCGGAGTTGCGCGCCATGGCTTCCGGCACTCCTATATTGGTTTCACTTAATGACAATATATCAAACTAGTCCAGCCAACGCCGAACAGCGCGTGCAGACCGGAACAACGACCGCATTGTGGAGCAGCCCGGAACAATGGGTGCAAAGCAATCGACTAGGGTGTGTTGACATTTCATTATAATGGCCGTATGTCAAACATCAGATTATCACCAGAACAGTGGGCCAGGATTCTCGATTCTTGCGTGGCCGCACCGGCCTGTACGTTGGCCGGGAAGCGGATTGCCGGGCGTTTTGTCGAGGCCGTCTTATGGATTAACCGCTCGGGGCCCAATGGCGACTGCTGCCAGCCGAATACGGGACACTGGAACAGCGTCTACAAACGATTCGCCCGTTGGACTGACCAAGGCGTCTGGGCACAAATGCATCAACATTGCTGCGACGACGCGGATCTGGAATACCTGATCATCGACAGCACGGTGTCCGGGCGCACCCTTGCGCGGCGGGAGCTCCCCCAAAAAGGGTGGCCAGGCGGCCAGGCCTGGGCCGGAGCCGCGGCGGGTTCAGCACCAAGATTCACGTGAGCGTGGACGGCTGGGCAAACCCCTTGCGATTCATCCTGACCGGAGGGCAACCAGCACGACATCACCCAGGCGGAGGAGTTGATCGCCGGTTATGCTGGCGAGCACGTACTGGCCGACCAAGGGTACGATGCCCAGGAGTTTCGCCAGCACATCCTGGAACTGGGTATGATGCCGGTCATTCCGCCCCGCTCGACCGCAAGGCACCCGCCGACTATGACCGGCATCTGTACCGGGAGCGCATCTGGTGGAATGCTTCATCACAAGATCAGCACTATCGCCGGATATTCTCCCGGTTTGAGAAGCTGGACACCAGATACCTGGGCTTCCTGCACTTCACCGCCGCTCTCATCTGGCTACGGTGAAATGTCAACACAACCTAGTGAACCCGGACCGACAAATGGGGTTTAGGGCGCTAGTAGTCCATCAGTTTTGGATTGATGGATATAAAGACTTCAATTTTATGCGAGCGTCTGCGGTGGTAAAGCGCCAGTCTACTTTTATGGCCTCTTGATTGCGCCGGTCCTGCCACGCTGCGGCCTCCCGCCGCAGCGTTCTTTGATCCGGAATGCGACGGTCCAGGCATTGGCGGGACATCACCCCGATTTCAATCTCGGCCATATCCAGCCAACTGCCATGCTTGGGCGTGTAGTGAATCTCCAGCCGCTCCGCGATGCGCCGGGCCTCGGCAGGTTCAAAGGCCTCATACAATGAACTGGGGTGATGAGTGTTCAGATTGTCCATCACCAGCACGATACGGTCTTTGTCCGGGTAGTCCTCGTCCACCAGTTGCTTGACCACCTGCGCCCAATCGACTTTGGTACGCCGGTCCGTCACTTCCACCCGGCGCCACCCCTCCAGCGGTGCGAACAACATGAACAGGTTGCTCACTCCGTTGCGTTCGTATTCGTAATCGTAGGAGCCCACCGCCCCAGGCTGGGCCGGACGCGGCTGGCGCGTCTCTTTCACCTGCTGCTTGCTGGTCTCATCCAGGCAGACCAGGACCTCGTTGTCCGCATACTGGCGCTGATAGACTTCCAGCACGTCCTCCATGGCGCAGACAAACTCGGCGCTGCCTTGCGGAGGGATGCACCAACACTCTTTCAGCCAAGGCTTAAGTTGGTTTTTTTCAGCGTCTGGCGCACCGTCTCAGAGCTGATGCTCTCTACTATCTCCCTTTCCACCAGTCCATTGGCCAGCAATTGCAGCGTCCAACTGGCCCGCCCCTTGGGCGGTTCCCCGCAGGCCAGGGCAATCAAGTGGGCTTCCCCCTGACCGTCCAGCCGCTTCCGCCTGCGGTTCAGTTGCTCCTTGCGCCCCAAAGCCCGTTCCAAACCCTCCTCCACACAGCGGCGGCGTACCCGCTCCACCGTCGCACGGCCAACCTGGAGGGACCGGGCAATGTCTTCATCCTTCATAGCCCCTCCCTCTTGCGCCTCGTCGCCCAACAGCAGGATGCGGGCATGGGTCTGCTTGTACGCTGCAGAACGCCCCTTGGAAACCATTGCCTTCAATTCCTCCCGCTCCTCCGCACTCAGCTTGACCCGGTACTTCTTCTCCATCACCCACTCCCCTCACCTGCTTCTTTAACCCCTTTCTTTCTACCTATTATCCATCAGTCCAACTCTGCTCGACTACTAGTAGCGACAATACTCGGACTCGCTCCTAGACGGGAGAGCCAATCCCATCAACCTCCTCTCCCTCGATGGGAAAGCCAAGTCCCGTATCTCCCCTCTCCCTTGATGGGAGAGGGTCAGGGTGAAGGTGACGGCAACCGCAGCGAGTAAACGCAGTTAGCTACGGTTCAAGCGAACCCCGCGTCTTCTGCAATTCCAAACCCTCCTGCACCAAGCGCAAGGCCAGTTCGGGCTGCGCCTGTCCCTTCGTGAGCCGCATCACCTGCCCCATCAAAAAGCGGGCGGCGGTGTCCTTGCCGCTGATGTAGTCGGCAACCGCCTTCGGATTGGCGGCGATGGCCTCGGCGACGGCGGCCTCGATGGCCCCGGTATCGCTAATCTGACCGAGTCCTTGCTCCCGCACGATGTCGGCCGGCTCGCCCCCGGTGGCGTACATCTCCTCCAGCACGGTCTTGGCCAGCGATGTGGACAGCGTGCCATCGGCGACCAGCGCCAGCAGATCGGCCAACCGCTGCGGTGTAACCGGCGATGCGTCGATTTCCCGATGGTCCTGATTCAGCAGCCGGGCCAGGTCGCCAAGCATCCAGTTGGCAACCTCCTTGGCTGTGGCGGCCCGGTCGGCGGCATCAGCGTCTCGCAGCGTCAGCGTCGTCTCGAAGTAATTGGCCATACTGCGGGAACCCGCCAACAGATCGGCATCGTACCCCGAGAGCGCCAGGTCGGCCTGAAAGCGCGCGCTGCGTTGGGGCGCAAACTCGGGCAACTCGGCTGCCAGCTCGGCTACCCGCTCCGGCCCGATGCGCAGCGGCGGCAAATCCGGCTCGGGGAAATACCGGTAGTCGTGGGCGTACTCCTTGCTGCGCTGGGAGACCGTTACCTCCCGCTCCTCAATCCAGCCGCGAGTCTCCTGCACCACCGCGCCACCGTCCTCGATGACCTCGCGCTGGCGCACCACCTCATACTCCAGCGCCTGATAGACGGCGCGGAAGCTGTTCATGTTCTTGACTTCGGTGCGGGTGCCCAGGATTTGGCTGCCCACGGGCCGGATGCTCACGTTGGCGTCGCAGCGAAAGTTGCCGTCCTGCATATTGCCGGTTGAAACGCCCAGGTACTGCACGATGGAGTGCAGCAAGGTTAGATACTGGCGGGCTTCCTCCGCGGAGCGCATATCGGGTTTGCTCACCACTTCCATCAACGGCACACCGGAGCGATTGACATCCACCAGCGAGTAGCCCTCCCCCCGGTCGTCGTAAGATCCTTGGGGAAAGTGCTGCAACTTAGCCACATCTTCCTCCAGATGCACCCGTTCCACCCCTATCCTGCGTCGTCCCAGACCAAGTTGGGTATCGCCGTCAATCTCCAGAAACCCGTCCAGGGCCAGCGGCAGGTCGTACTGGGAAATCTGGTAACCCTTCATCAGGTCGGGGTAGGGATAGTTCTTGCGATCGAACTTGGTGAACTCGGGGATGCGGCAATTCAACGCCAACCCGGTCAGCACGGTGTACTCGACGGCCCGCCGGTTGATGACAGGCAACGCCCCGGGCAAACCCAGGCAAACCGGACACGTCCTGGTATTCGGCTCAGCAGCCTGATAATCAGCCGGACACCCGCAAAACATCTTGCTGCGGGTATGCAGCTGCACATGCACCTCAAGCCCAATAACCGTTTCGTACTGCATAACCTGCCATCACCCAACGGAGCAATTCCAAAGGCGCCAACGCAACCTAGTATAGCAAGCAGAAAGTGAACCGGGCGTTCCAGTGGCCTAATCAGTTAAGCCGTCAGTGTTGGATCGGCCCACCGAGGGCCTGAAACGCTGTATCCAGATCCCGGATCATTACGCCGAAGTTAGCTGGCAGCAGCCTGGCGTATTCGTTACCTGTGATATGGCCCCGTTCGATCCTCTTGGCGTAGTCAACCAACAAGGTTAAATCTTCGGAGCTAATGGACGTGTTACCTTCGGTGAGTTCAGTACTAGCGTCCAGCAAGCCAAAAATTCGCAGACAATTGCGGACGCGTTCAAGACAGGCGCCCAGGGTAGTTTTGCACTCTGCGATGTCCCGGTCGATGTCAAACGACTCCTTGCTGTTAACCTGATATAGCAAGAGGTATGCCTGGCGCATATCTATCGTGGCGATATTAAACAGATGCCAGAATTTTGCCAATTTGTCCTGCAAATCCGTGTCAGTACCCGTACCGCCGTAGGCCATGGTCTGCAACGATGGAATCTCATTGCTCGATTCATCTCTGCGTTGGATTGCCGCCTGGAGCGGTCGAAAAGCGATTACAGCGGAGTCTGTCGATGACCGTTGCTGCGTGCCTTCTTTTTGCATAGAGCCAAAGTCTCGCTCGGGATTGGCGACGGCCACATATTCCAATTCGTCAAGTAATCGGTGAAACTTCCGCAGTTCGTGGGCAGCGCTTGACAAGTTCCGGCGCAACACAAAATATAGATCCCAGGCTCCGTTAAAATCGGGACAGCGAGCCAGGGCCGGGAAAGCCGAGTACCAGTGACGGTCGGCCTCGGCGAGTATGGTGCCGATTGTTGTGAGCGTTTCCCTGGCGGTACTTCGTCGCATTTGGTCGTAAGCGAATTCCGAAACCTGTTTCAGGACTGCATTGCCTTCGGCTCGCTTCGCCCTCGTTTCTTCATCGGCCTCTGACCGGTAGCTCGCAATCAGGGCAATAATCTCGTTATCCCGCTCGGTTCGCAACCGGGACGCCTGCCATCGGTTCAGGGCGAAGGTGAATGCCGCTCCCGCGCCGCCACCGACCCCGATATCAACCTGAAAACCCAGAGATACGTCTTTGTTTATAACGGCGGCCAACAGCCCGCCTACTACTAACTATAAATCGAGAACTAACGGCCCCGTTACATCAAACCGAGAAAATATCCGTCTCATTCGTACCTCGAATTAATTTGCCTGAGATCAGCGTATCGGGAGCCGGGCGGCAGCGCACCAAAATGCCAATGTAATGTATGGATGTTACTCGTGACTAGAGATAATCTCGTCCAGTATTAGCGGCAGCTCACCGATGTTGGCAACGTAACTGGGTGGGCTCTGGGTTCGTGTGCTGAGGCACAACGAATCTACACGGACTCTATTGAAGAACCGGCCATCAACCATTGCCCGCGAAACGGCCCAACGTGTTGATCCAAGTCAATCAGCGCGTCATATTCTATCCCGTAGTCGGCCATCTGACGCTGGATTACTGCGCGCGCTGCTGGGGAGTTGTCCATCCCTATGAATCTGCGGCCGAGTTGCGCCGCCTGGATGAGGGTTGTGCCGTTGCCGGCGTAGCAATCCAGAACGGTATCGGCGGGGTTGGACGAGGTGAGGATAATCCGTTCCAGCATCCCCGCGTTCTTTTGCGTCGGGTACACTGGACGCTCGGGGTCTTTATAGCACCATAAGTCCTGGGGGAGTTTGCCCGCAGACTCATCGGCCCGTTTATCTTCCGCGGGTTGCCGGTCGAACTCCACGCAATCAACCCCGCTTCATCCAGTTCTTCCAACTTGTCGGGCGGGTTGCGCCAATGCCGGCCGACCGGTGGCAGCATGCCGCGCCAGGGCTCGCCGGTGGCCCCATTCACGGTTGTGCCCGGCGCATGCACCGGCGTCGTCGCGTATCGCCGACCTTCATCATCTATGAGGGGGTACAGGCTGGCGATTTCGCTGTCGGACATCGGAACCTGCTGCGGATGCCACGTGTTTTGCCAGGGCGAAACCGAGTAGAAAAGTATAGTGTCCCTGATGTTCCCGTATGAGTAACGCGCAAAATTCTTGGGGTTGCATTTGATGCGCGTAATACTGTTCCGAAAATTCTCCGGGCCAAACACCTGGTCCATCAACAGTCGCACATGGTGTTCCATGTTGACGTCAATATGAACATACACTGACCCGGTAGGATTCATTACGAAACTGATGGCCTGCAACCGTGCTTTCAGCTCATTGAGGTATTTGGCGCCCACCGTAGTGTCGGAGTAAGCCAACTGGCCGGAGCGACTGACCGAATTGGCCCGGTCAGTGTCAATCAGAAACTCGTTATTAGTGGCGAACGGCGGGTCGATATACACCAGATCAACCTTGATTCCCAGCTCGGCAACACGTTGCAACCCATCCAGATTATCTCCCGGATGGAATAGATTCTGCATTAGCCGCCCCTCTATCGGTGCACCCCAATATCGTCAAATCACCGTGGTGGTGGTGCGCGCACCGCGTAACCCATAGATGTTTTACCACGCCCCCGTCCGCTGCCCCTATTCCTCATCCCCATATTGCTCTTTCAGCATCTCCACCACTGCCGGGTCGGCCAGGGTGGTGGTGTCGCCCAGGGCGCGTCCTTCTGCCACGTCGCGCAGCAATCGGCGCATGATTTTGCCGCTGCGCGTCTTGGGCAGCTCGGCGGCGAAGTAAATGTCGTCCGGCCGCGCCATCGCGCCAATCTTGCCTGCTACGTGCTGCTTCAGCTCGGCAATCACGTCGTCGGAGGCCGCCACCTGGTCTTTCAGCGTTACGAAGGCGACGATGGCCTGACCCTTCACCTCGTGGCTGCGCCCGATGCAGGCGGCTTCGGCGACCTTCAGATTGTCCACCAACGCCGACTCCACTTCCATGGTGCTGATGCGGTGCGCCGACACGTTGATCACGTCGTCCACCCGACCCAGCAGCCAGAAATAGGATTCTTCGTCCAGCTTGGCTCCGTCGCTGGTGAAGTAGATGCCCTCGTAGTTCGACCAGTACTGCTGGACAAACCGCTCCGGGTCACCGTAGATGCCGCGCAACATGCTCGGCCACGGCTGTCGGATCACCAGATAGCCGCCTCCACCGGGTCCAACCTCGTTGCCCTGCTCGTCCAGGATGGCGGCGTCGATGCCCGGGAACGGCTGCGTCGCCGAGCCGGGTTTCAGCGTGGTGATACCGGGCAAGGGGCGATATCAGCACCGAGCCGGTTTCCGTTTGCCACCAGGTGTCCACTACCGGACACCGGCCGCCGCCGATATGTTGCCAGTACCAAACCCTGCCTCTCGGGTTGATGGGTTCGCCCACCGAGCCGAGCAGCCGGAGCGACGACATATCGTGCCGTTCCGGATACTCCTCTCCCCAGCGCATGAACGTGCGGATGGCCGGTGGGCGCCGTGTAGCAGATGGTGCAGCCGTACTTCTCCACGATAGCCCAGAACCGGTCCCGGTCGGATAGTCGGGCGAGCCCTCATACATCACCGTCGTCGCGCCGTTGGCGAGCGGCCCGTAAATGATATAGCTGTGCCCCGTAACCCAGCCGATGTCGGCGGTGCACCAGTACACGTCGTCTTCCTTCAGGTCGAAAATCCACTTGGTGGTGGCATAGGTGCCGGTCATATAGCCGCCGGTGGTGTGGACGATCCCCTTGGGCTTGCCGGTGGTGCCGCTGGTGTACAGCATGAAGAGCATGTCTTCGCTGTCCATCGGCTCCGGGTCGCAGGTCAGCGGCTGATCGGCCACCAGGTCGTGCCACCAGATGTCGCGACCGGCCTGCATCTGATCGTCGGCATGAGCGGTGCGGCGCACCACGACGACATGCTCAACCGGAGTTTCGCCCTCCACCGACGCATCGGCGCTGGCCTTGAGCGGAATGATGTTGCCCCGTCGCCAGCCGCCGTCGGCGGTAATCATCACCTTGGACTGGGAATCCTCGATACGGTCCCGCAGCGACTCCGCGCTGAATCCGCCGAACACGATGCTGTGCGGCGCGCCGATGCGAGCGCAGGCCAGCATCGCGATGGCCAGTTCCGGCACCATCGGCAGGTAGATGGTTACCCGGTCGCCCTTCTCCACGCCCAGACTCTTCAGTCCGTTGGCGAACTTGCAGACTTCCCGGTAAAGGTCGCGGTAGGTGTACACCTGCCAGTCGCCGGGTTCGCCTTCCCAGATGATGGCTGCCTTGTTTTTGCGCGGCCCGCTCAGGTGCCGGTCGATGCAGTTATAAGACGCATTCAACTGGCCGCCCACAAACCATTTGGCGAAGGGTGCATCCGACCAGTCCAGGATCGTTTCCCAGGGTTTGAACCAGTCCAGCTCACCGGCCCACCGCGCCCAGAACGCCTGGGGGTCGCGCCGCGCTTCTTCGTACACGCCAGGGTCGCTGATGTTGGCCTGGGCCACAAAATCGGCCGGCGGCGGATAGGTACGGTCTTCCTGCAACAGGGCCTCAAAAGCGCCGGTATTCTGAGTCATGATAAAGAACCTCCGGGGCGGGAAAATATCCGGGTTTGATACGGCAGATATTAGCACATCCCCGTTGGTTCCAAATCAAACCTCGCCTGCGGTGAGGCCATCAACTGGCTGGGAGCTGCCTCAACTCGTACTGCGAGATCCTTTCGTATGCGTCCGGATGGATCAGCTCGTACACCAAATCGGACGAATACCAGTATGTGTGCCATGATCGGCCGTCCACGAAATCGCATCAGTTTCGGACACCTTCGCAAATATGCCCGAAAAGGTGCTCCTGACCGCCAACAGTTACCACTGCCATCCGGAAGCAGTTGCCGGCTACGAACTTATGCGCACTAAACCCAAATACCGACACGTAGAACCCTTTGTAGTCCCAACCTCCGTCGTCGGTGAAAACCCAATAAGGCTCTCCGGTGTCGGAGAATCGATCCGCTACTCCATAACAAGCCACCATCTCGAAAGGTTCGCCGACCACTCGGCGACCGGATCCGATCCCCCACTCCGCCGCGAACGACGGTGTCGGAGTCGGGTGAGGCGTAGCCGTTGGGTACGGCGTATAGGTCGGGCGCGGAGTGCTGGTCGAATACTGCGTCGCGGTGGGCGCGGGCGTGTGTGTCGGCAGTGTCTCCGGCGCGGTGCGGGCGGTCAAGGCCGGAGACGTAGTTGGAAAGGATTCCAATGACGAGAATTGCAATGCGGTGAAGTTCGGTACTCATGAAAATCCCTCTAAAGACGGCCCACACCCTCCGCTTTCCGCTCCCACAATCCGGGGTCCCGCAGTTTGCGACATGAGGATGCAGCGCTTCGATGGCGTAAGGTTTCGCAAAGGCTGTGTTTACACCCAGGTTGCTGAACCACGGGTGAAAGTGCCCCAGGAGGCTGTATGTGTGCATCCTGAGGCGGGGTGCAAGATCGCGTCACTGCGGGGGCAAATTGGCTTCTACCAACTTGTTTCGCCACTCCGACAGTTGCTGGACAACCTGCCTGCGTTCTTCCTGATGTTGGGGTATGCCCAACGATTTTTCGATCTCGGCCTTGTTATCTTTCGACTCTGGAATACCCAGCTCTTCTTTCCGTTGTAGTACGGCAGATTTCAGACCGTTTAGTTCGTCGTCTTGCCTCAACCTCCGAATACAGGCGTTAATATCCTTGACGCTGGGGCGTGCCTTTAACTCGGTGATGGTGTCACTGATCTCTTCGAACCGGTCTTCACCTTGGCGAATCCGCTCCGCCAATCGTTGATTATCACGGGTAGTCATTCTACCTCTCCTTGGCAAATGGCCAACCGCGGCGCAGACGCGCGACACCCCTCGAACAACCACTCGCCCGACCCGCACCAGCTCCCGGTGGGGAATCGACCTACGCCTTTGGGCCCCGGCAGGACGTGTGGAAGAAGATGGAAAGGAGAAGTCGGCTATCCCAACCGGGGAGCGGGGCCCGCCAGCTCCGTTGCCGTGCTTACGGCAATGCGGCTGGGGCGGGCAATGGGATTGAAACCCCAGTAGGCGCCCGCGTATATCGCGGGGTAGGAGCGCCGCATGGCGGCAGCCCAGATCGCCGCCGTCTGCGTTAGCCTGCCGATTATAGCTCTGGCCGGCGAGGGTAAAAACATACCGCAGCTTCCCGACCACAACACACCAAAACCACCAAGCGGCGATGAAGCGAAACAGCCATCATACAGCCAACACCATGGCAACCCATCGCTCAGATACCGGAACCACCGCGTCGAGTACGAAGTCCAGTGGCAAATACGCCGCCGTGCAATACCGACGTACCGGAAAGCGCCATCAGAAAGAACAGCCCGGCGAATCCAAGTACAACAGCCGAGGCCCAGCCGACGGAGCCGCAAACTAGCTGAAACACGAAGCGCTTCAATAAGTTGGTCGATGGCCGATCGAAAAGTGAACGTATCAAAAAGCAGACCTCCGCCAAAAACTATGCCACGGTCCCTGGTCGCTCGCAACCGTCTACTGTCGCTTTCCCGTACAATGCCACACCATGTCGCACCCCGCCGACGGACACCGCTGTTCGGCGGTGGTGGTGGGGACCATTCCGGCCGCCGCGCGCTGGATGCCGCACTCGTGATGGGTTCGCGCCTGCCTGTTTGTTTTTGTCATGTGTGCTGCTGCCTCGCTCTCGACTTCGGTCAACGTTGCCCCTTTTTTCTTCTCGCCATCCGCACAGATATGCGCACCCCGTCTCCACAGCACCCCTGTCACCCCGGCCTCCGTGCAGTGGGTCATCGTCGTGTTCATCGCCACCCGCGCCGGGTTGGCGCTGGGGTCGGGCGCGTTCGGCTCGACGCTTCGGCCCTGCTGCGGATGGTTTCCACTGTGTGGCACACGTAACCATATCGTCGCCCTATGGTCGTTGCCTCACCCTGTACGCGACACTGCAGGTCATGTGTGGCTTTTGCGCTGCTTGCATGCAGGCGCGGTCGCACCGGATGTCTGTACAGCACGTCGCCGGACCATCGACGACGCCGACATCTTCCCGAGCTATCCGGCGCGGTTCTCTTATTGTCGATGGGGATTCACCTCGGCCAGCCTGGCCTTCGCATGGTCGCCTCGACCCTGGCCGCCGGGCGATGGTGCAAATACGGAGGGCAGGCAGTCGGTGTGTAAGAACGGGAGAATAAAAGCCTGGAAGGACCAGCTGGCGTTAGACAACCGGATTCATGGCGGTGCGGAAGGTTATCGCCGATAACCCGAAGGCCGAAAGTTCGATATGGGTCGCAAGCATTGTGCTGCGACTGCCCTGTGATCATTATCGGTTTGCGACTCGGCCAGGCCATCGGGTGGACATCGCCGGTCGTCATCACCCTGCTGGTTTTGACGCCGATCGTGTTGGCCGGGCTGGTTTGGGTGGAAAATCGCGTCGAATCGCCGGTGCTGCCGGGGGCGCTGGTCAGGCTGCGGGGCTTCCAGACCGCCACCGTCGCCATGTTCCTGGACCACTTCGCCCAGTTCGTCATCTGGTTCATCTTCCCCTTCTACATCACCGACTCGCTGGGCCGCGGCCCCATCACGCTGGGGTTGATGCTGGCAGCCCTATCCAGCAGCAACATCGTATCGTCGCCGGTGGGTGGATGGCTGTGCGACCGCTGGGAGTGTCCGTCCGTAGGAGACGTCGGGCATGGTCCCGCGTACGCCACCGCTTGAACTGTTTGTGATGTCGCTCACTCGACGCCAAGATCGGCAATATCATGGCCTCCGGCGAGCGCGACCATCGTCGGTGGTCGGCCAATTGGTGCGTTTCCGGCGTGGTCTCAGTCGGCGGCCTACGCGCTCATCAGGGCTGGCAGACGCGTCCCGCCAGTAGGTTGCGTTGTACGGCACCTGCCATCCGAGCATATAGTTACCCCGCCCGAGCGACGCCGGCACCGTGCTTTGCGTCGCCGTAGTCCGCCGCCATGCTTCGCCGCCCGCAACCACGAACATCTACACTCGCCGTTCGCGGGGATCACTCCGCCGACGAGAGCATTCTAGCTCGCGTTCATATGCTGCAGGTTTTGCGGATCGGAGCCGTTCAGACCCGCATAAAACCCCGACACAGAAGACGCCGTCCCGCCACGATCTGGTTCGCCCTGATGGCGCGCCAACCAATCCTTGCCGGAGAGCATGACCCGCCGTAACCCAGCGGCAAGCGAAATCCCGCTCTCCCTCTGAAGACCGTTGCTCTAAAGCCCCTGGCACCGTTTGTCACTGCCTCAGCTTTGCTCATGTTGCGAGGAGCGCTCCCGCTCATACCCGAGCTCGTCGAGGACCGTGCAATCCTCGGCCCGAGCTATGAATACGGAGCACACGGCAGGCTTCATCGGGTTCCGGCGACACGCTCGTGACCGTCGGTTGTGCAAAGATCTCATCCGAGAGGCACTGCGGGCAGTCGCTAGGACGTGAGAGGTGAACACACCTCCCACGTACCAGCATCTAATTGTACGAGAGTATCCGGTCCATATACATAAAAATCCGTTGTCTCCGCTGGCGTCGTGTATAATGCGCCGCACCGGTAAACTTGCCGTTCCGTCAGTTATGGATAGCAGCGTCTTCACCACTGCGATTGTTGCCCAGCAGAGTGACAGGACCAGAGACACAGGCAGTAGCGCGCCATGTCAACTCACCTGTCCGGCGTCAGGACGCGCACCTACAGACGTCGCACAAGGGCTGCGTGATGGCTACCACACTGGTCGGCGCCCATGCCTTCGAGCACCTGTACGCTCATAGCATACCGATACTGATTCTGGCCATCGCTCAGGATCTCCAGTTGTCCGCGTTGGGAGTGGGGGCGGTGGTGGCCATCCGTTCAATCTTCGGTGGCGTAACCAGCACCGCCGGGGGATTCCTGGTCGACCTTTTCCACCATCGTGTGGCCTGGGTGCTGTCGATCAGCACGTTTATGATCGGCCTGGGTTACCTGCTAATGTCCAGTCGCGCCCACCTACGCGCTGATTCTGTGCGCGCTGGCATTGGGTTCCATGGGCAGCGCGCTGTGGCATCCGCCGGCATTGGGCCTGCTGGCCCGTCGCTTCCCCGAGCGGCGCGGTTTGTTCATATCCATGCACCGGTCAACCGGCAGCGTCGGCGATGTAATCGGCCCGCTCGCGGCCGGCGCGCTGGTTCTGGGCGCAATTACCTGGAGCGGCGGGGCCGCCGAAGGCAGCGTAGAAATCTCTTGGCCGTTGCCGTGGGGCAAGGTCGACTGGCGGTATATTCTCGGGTTCAGCACGCCGGTGATGTTTATCGCGACGGTGGCGATATTCTTCTGCTGCGCAACGCCGGCAGCGAGCGTCCCGTAAACGTGGACGTGGGCGCGAGGATTCGCACGAATTGGGCCGGTATGAAAGATGCTTTCCGCGGCACGGGCATGTGGGCCATCTTCACCGTATCAGCGGTGCGGGGCATGGCTGACCGGTCGCTGGTCTTCCTGGTGCCGTTTTATCTGCTGGAAGTGGGCATTAACGAGTTCCAGGCCGCCGTCCATGTGATGCTGATGGTGTTGCCCGG